TGCCATCCGGAAGTACACAGAGAGCCATGGCTACTCTTGCGATATTGAAAAGATCGCGTTGGAGGGAGAAGGCCGCATTACGGAGCGAGTGGATCTCCTGTGGAAGCTGCTTCTGAATTGGATGGAGGAGATCCGTAAGGCTGATTTCGTCATGTTCGCATGTCACAGTCAAGGTGTGCCAGTAACGATCATGTTGGTTGCAAAGTTGATACAGTTCGGCTGTCTTGACGCCAAACGAGTCGGCATCTGCGCTATGGCAGGTGTGAACCTCGGCCCCTTCCCGGATTATCGCTCTCGATGGATCAGTGGCTCGGCTGGAGAGCTATTCGAGTTTGCACTGCCTTTCAGCAAGGTCTCGAAAGAGTACGAAGCTGCTCTTAAATGTGCTCTCAATTTTGGTGTTCGCATCTCTTATATCGGAAGTATCGACGATCAACTCGTTTCACTGGAGGTAAGTACATATCTTGATATTCAGACATCTATCAAATAGCTAACTCCCCCCTAGTCCTCCCTCTTCTCACCCATAGCCCACCCCTACGTCTACCGCGCTGTCTTCGTGGATGGCCGAGTCCACGCCCCAAGCTTGTAAGTAACCCCCTCACCCACCCCACCTCGATTGACAATGCTAATATCGAAACACAGCCTCTCCCATCTAGTTGGCTTCGCCCTCAAGCTTCGCAACCTTGGTATCTCAGACCACGGTCTAATCCGCGAACTAAGTACCCCATTAGCAGGAAGTCTATACTCGGGAGAGGGACATTCTCGGTTGTACGATGATGAAGCCGTATACTCGTATGTAACAATAATGAATCCCTACGCACATCCAAAACTGACATCATTTTGCAGCATGGCCATAGAATTCGCACTCGAGACTTCTTCGGTCCCAGACTCCGCGCTCAGCGTCAAGCGAGCCAGCAGCTCTGTCACACCAAACCCGTACATCCTCCCATTCGCCATGCGCGGTCTTCTGGAAGAGGAATATGTGCGTCAGGAGCTGCACAACGAGACTATGGAATTGCTCAGACAATTTGACGACTGGAAACCTTCTAGTAAGGTTCTGAAAGACGTAAAGTTTCGACTAGAAGGTATCCGGTCCAAGCTCTAGCTGGGCCTGTTAGTCAAGAATTAGAAAGTATCTTGCTTTGCACAGGGATTTGATATTAGCGCTTTATTAGATATGGAAATACACGTTCTCTTTCTCAGTAATTGCTGCCGATCTGAATATACAATTATGAATTATAGAAACAGTGGACATTTCCTTCTCGGCTTTGTTCGAATACATATATAGTGATAGAAGTTGTATTTCGTATGCCAATAAAACTGTCTACCAAAGAAGGGAGTCATATTTGTATTGCGCCATCTTAGAAAACGCCGTATTCCGTTGAGCATAAAATGAGAATAGTGGAGAATCCAGTCATGAAAAAGAGAGGAGGGGATCATTATAAAAATGCAGATGGCTTGAAAGTGCCGAAGAAAGAAAAAGCTCAAGACAACGTAGAAAAATAAAGAAACACCCTGTTTAAACAGATGCTAGTGGGAACGCCGTTTTATATGCACCTTCGATTTCATCTATTACAAATGTTAGCAGTAGAACCGCATATCAGAAAAAAGAATAAAACACAAACCTCTCATCCCATCCAAAGCCTCAAACGCAAGCGAATAATTCGACACAGCCGCAATGATCCGCTCTAGACCTTGTCGCAATTCCTCAATGAGCTGGCCGGTAGAATCTCCGCTATGCTCATTCTCGGGGGTGTCAGGTGCAAGCTGTTTCGCTACACGCGCCTTGTAGTAGATCATGAACATAGCGTAGCTACTTTGCATCAGACAGCATGCGAAAGATGGCATGGTTCGGGGTAATGGTCGACCCTGCTGCTGCTGGGGACCTAAGAGAGGCTGTGGGACGGGTAGGCTGTGGAACATGCGGGAGATGACGAGTGCGGCCTGGAGACAGATTTTGGCGGACTGCTGCGTGCTGTAGGGGAATCCGGAGGCGAAGGGATATGTGTACTGGGATGCGTATGGTTGGATGTCGGTGTGGATGTCTGATGAGGTAGAGGAATCGGATGGGGTCATGTATTCTGTTGAGGAAGCTCGTTCGAAGGAGTTTAGGTTCGAGCAGGAGCAGGAGATGTTGTGGATGCCGGCTTTGGTGCTGACGGGTGTGGTGGCGGTGTTTGGATTTGCTGCTGTCAGGTCGCAATGTCTTTTTATGAAGATGGGGATGTCGGAGAAGGCTCGGAAGCGGTGCGTTTTTATTTGTGCGCTGGGGTTATTGTTAGTTAGGTTTAGGTTGAGAAGGTGGAAGGCTCGAACCTGGATAGTTTGATTCGGGATATTGCACGTATACTTTGGGCTGTGATGGATTCGTTGTGATCGCCGAAATCTGATGTCTGGGGTAGAAGGGGGAGTAGCTCCGCCTGTGCTATCACTGAGTGAGTCCAGGCATCAAGTTGCTGCATTCGTTCGAACATATAGTACATCCCTGATTGGGACGAGAGGCATTTGTTCAGATCGCCAATAAATTGGGTTGCTGATACAAGCACTTGTTGAGCTTGTATTAAAATAGCCCAACCCTGAAGACCGGTTAGCGGATGGAAGATGAATGAAGAGGTCGAGTACAAACCTCGGTATCTGATGAGAACGATGGATATGGGGTCGTGAACTGCGGGTCATTGATGACGATAGCAGGCACCTGTTTCTTTATTAGCTCCAGTCATGTTTGAAGAACTATATTACTCACTGTTGTGCTAACGATAGATCCTTGAATCACACAATAGTACTAAAAGAAATTAGACCAAGAACCAATGAAAGAGGAGGGATACAAACCGTCATCCACCAGGCTCTCCGTCGAGCTTCCGAAAATTCGTCATTCCCCATTTGAGCATGAAGTGACTTGTCCAGAGCAATTGCAAGAGCCTGACCAGCACGATATCGCATCTTGAGCAAGTTACCGCGTTGGGAGTATTCATAAACCGAAAGCACCAAGAGCGCCAGGAGGCTCTCATAGTCTACGGGAGCTTGCGAATGGAATCTTTCCCGCCCAACAAAAGGTCGTGCGGCAGATAATGCTTGGCCAGGATCAGTCGAGGACAGATCAAGATCACACTCTGCTTCGATAGTTGAATTGGCGAGTTGGGCGAAAGTATGCGCGTATGTTCTACGCTGGTGTACAGACGCTGCGGACGACGGCTCAAGATCACTTGGGTGCGGAATCAAAGCCAAGATTGCAGATAGTGCAAGACTTAGAGGTGAACGGGGCCGGTACATCATCATCGGTTCAGATGTAGTGGAACCTGGAACAGGGCAGTTCAATGGTCGATCTCGACACGGTGGTGATGCCCGTGGCGGAAGAATAGGGAAATAGTTATGAATGAAGTCATAATAGGCATTCAATCTGGGGAGGTTAGACAAAGTATGGAACTGATGGTAGAGAGATACTTACATTTCGGGCTCGCTTCCATAGGTTCTTACGAAAGGTTGAGTGCTGTTCAATGGTGGCGATATCAGAGGCACTTGCATGTGCGACTGACTACCATCGCCAGTGAAGAAGTTTTGGAACATGGAGGGAACATCGGATTGGAAATCTAGATGCCTCAAACCTGCGCCAGGCAGCGAGAGTTCATCAATTTGGTTGAACATCCCCGGAGCTAAACTTTGGTAAGTATATCGCTTTTTTTGGACATGAGGGCGATGACGTACCTTCTTCAAACTCCGGAGGTGAGGGGACAGTATTATACAAAGCATCATCTCGCTTTGATTCATGTTCTGGCGACAGTGAGGACTTTTCCTTCTTTTTGCGTGGCCCGCCTCGTTTGCTGGGTAAATAAGAGCATTCTCTGTCTTTGCTCACACACTATAATGAATGTCAGTCTATGCAATGAACCATTAATCAACCCCAGATCCACAATTAAAAAAAAGCCCCCAAAGCATTCAACACGCAAATCACAAAGAAAACGTACATTCGCGCATGGCATTTGGCCGCCACATCGTGTTCTCGAAGCCCGACTGGAGTAAACCGGTTAGTGGAGAAGTTCCTCTTTTTTTTTCGCGGGATTTGCTCACCAGGGAAGACAGGCTACCTTAACTGGCGGTTTAGCAAACTTCTTGCGAACCGACCGAGGTGCTGTCGAAGCAAGCCCGTTATAATCCAAAGTATCGGCCATGGCGACACTAAACATGGGAGCCTCAAATAATCTACAGTACCATTAATTTGAAACTGCACCGCTCGGGTGTCTTTGCAACCGAATACTAGTTGAAATGGGGCATTCTGCGGCTCGAATAATAAAATCGCAAGTTCGAAAGGGCGCTGATATAGAGACTTCCGTGTGATTGCTTGATCTTCGCAAACCCCGAGCCGTGGGGAGGTTCGGGATTTGCTTTTCGCAACTAAGCAGAGATCAAGATTCAAGCCCAACCCCGAATTGGAGAGATAATAGCAAGATGCATACAACATATATGCAGGGTAATTGATGGGATTTTTTTTTTTTTCATTCGTAAAATTTTTTCTTCCACATGGGAACCCTGGGAAGGAGAAAGAATTTGATATACGGGTTTTGGATATGGAACTTACCGGTACGACAGATACTTGTATTAATTCACACTTAGGGTGAGAGAGACATGTAATTTACCATCTGAAACATTCAATCACGTGGATCCACAATTGGAGTGTGATGATGTAGCTATCGATGTTTATTGGAGATTCATGATCTATCAACCCTCGGACATTATTAGTGATATCAAATAGATATATGTACTTGTGATATTTAAAAATCGTACAGAGCAAATGTATGCTCTCTGTTGAAGGAAATTATGTTTATGAATGCAACTTTCAATGTATAGGCTCTCATACCAATAATTTCCATATCTACCTCCGGCCCCACACTTGAAGATCATGCCAGGCCCTGAATCTCCGGACGAACATAATACATATCCCAATCGTGAAAATTACATATTGCCGTAGCTCCAATCCCTTGCACCTCATCGTAAGGCACTTTCATTTAACCAACATCATCCTGCATGCATCCCTCCAAGGACTCAAGCTCTTCGTCCAGATCTACTGACTCATTGCTATCTTCATCTACATCCGGCTCCCATTCTCCATCAACCAGACGAACAAACCCAGTGTTCCCAATATCATCCGGGTCCGAATTCAAGACAGATTCCAGCGCCTCCTGATCAACCATAACGAAGAATAAGTGGCGGCCTGACTCTCCGCATGTATCGACACCCTGTTCCTGTAGCGGTGCAGTCGTAGCCCACTTCTTGAAATGGGCGCGGAGAATAGCGGTCGTCATGCCATCAAATGAGGGGTCTTCAAAGATCGTTGGGGTAAACCCTTCTAGCATATCTAGACCAGAGTCGGACTCAAGGCGTTCTGTGACGGGCTCGAGGAAACGAGCCATAAATTTTTCCCAGTCGTTTTAGTTTCGATATGTGCAGCGATAGATCACGAAGTCCCACTTGGTGAATCCGTCTTTTTTGGAGGAGCCTAGGTTGTCTGCGGCATTGCAGGTTGTTTCCATGGGGGGGGATCCCGTTTTGAGGGTTCTTCGATTTCATAATCGGGGATGCGTGGGGAACTTGTCTTTGAGAATAATTACTGAGCTGTGAAGGATTAGTTCTGGTAGGAAAGCGAACGGCACCGGTTGAAAGGCTGGAACGCTTGAATAATTGCTTCCGAAAAAGTCTTGGAATCATTTAGTGAAAAGGGAAGAAATCTTCGAAATTTTTGAACTTGGTTCTCTAGAGTAATGTCAGCTCTAGACAACTACGAAATGTGAGGGTTTCAATGGGTCAGCTTCACCTGAAGTTAAGATGTACTTTCAAGGTGACTTTCCAAGGCTAACGGGGATCCTTACATATGGCATCAGCTCAAGGTCCATTAACGGGCAGCACGATATAGGCCCCATAATTATGGAATGATTTGGAATACTTCATAGACATTATATAAATCTACTATCGGCATGTGCATTTAATTAGACTTAAGCATGGCCCTTGCCTTTCCCAGGGGGTAGCTTAATGCCAGCATGCCGTACACTATCCCAGACACTGTCCCGAACTCTCGCAGGGTTCTTGTGTCCCTTTAAGTTCTGATCGATCAACCACATTCCAACCACGAATTCCTCACGCACCAAGAGCCCGATATTTTGATGATCGACCAGGTCCCACACTTGCTCCAGAATCGGCTCGGGCAGGCGGCTACGGCACCAGATCTCCCGGACCACCAGGTTGAGAACCATATCTGAAGCATCAGATGGCCATGACCCGTTTTCATTGGGACCGGGGCCCTCGGTGTTGATGAGAAGCCCTTTATTAGAGGCCCAAACACCTTCGTAACGTTTGCGTTCCTTCTCATTGACCTCGCGTTGCCAGCGCTTACGATCCCCCTCCTTGTGTTTGTGGGGGTGTTTGTGTAAGGGATTTCTGTGTTTTCGACGGTCGGCATCGCTGATTTTCGGTGTGCCACGAAGTGTCATCGGCATGCTCTTCGGTGGACTCGGTGTCCTTGAGAGGTCGGACTTGGGTTGGTGTGCGTGTGGTAAATGTAGAATGGATCGTGCGTGTCGTCGCTGGGGAAGTGGCGGGGGAATCCCCCTGATAGCTGGGGATGCTCGTGCTGATGCCAGGGATGAGGCGATAATAGCATTGGAGAGGGCTACCTCGCTCATGCCAATGGTGTCATCTATTATATTGGTACTTGCAGATGATGGGCTTGATATAGATACCTCGCTCGGTGTCGAAGGACTGGGGTTTGCGATAATTCCATGGTTTCTGATAGACCCTCGCGGTGGAGGCACGCGCGGCGGAAGCTTCGGTTTCGGTTTCGGCTCGTCTGACAGCAGAGATGAATTCCGAGACTCTAAGGAGGGATGGGGGCTCGATTCTCGACTATCCTGATAGTCTAGAGTTGTGCTGGATTGTTGCGATGATGAGCGCCTGTAGATAGCCAGATCCGAGTCAGACCTTAAGCCATTATCATGCAGCGGGGGACCAGGACTCTGGGCCTTTTGGATCGAGCGAATAGGGATTGGTGGTGGTGGCTGTCGCTTCTCCTGTGGAGGTGGCACCCGGCTCGCATTTCGTGCGCCTGCACCAGGTCTAGCAGTTGTCGAGGGAGCGCTGGTATCCCGCCCAGGTGACCTTGACGCAGCGAGCCGTGCGGCGATTTGAGAGGCGGAGGCGAGAGGTGCGGCTGATGGTCGTCCCCTCGCACTTGATGTACTGGGTGTAGGCGAAAGTGGCCTCGCCAATCTCCCGACCTTCTCCTTTACGGAGCCCGCTTCTGGGAGATCAGATTCAGCCCTCTGGCGCAAAGGATCTGCCATTGGAGTCGTGGCAGAAGATCTAACTGCAGGTGAGGGATCCCTGGAGTGGAATGCGAGTGTGGCGCCTTGCAGAGCGTCATTCCGAGCACTCAACCGCTGGTTCGCGGAAGCGCCATACATGGAATCGATTCCCCACAATTGGGAACGGTAGAGTTATGGAGTTATGCAAGTTATGAAATTATTAAAGATAATAAGCAATGTGATGATTTGATTTCATGAAGAGATGTTAAAGGGGAGAAAAATAAGCGGCCGTGCACGCGACCGTACACGTCTCTTCTACGCGACTATACGGAGTTTTGGAGTACATATTAAAAGTACATATTAAAAGTACATTTAAATACTCTTCAGATGTTATATATGGGGTTTCACTATTTTGTTACATTTCTATAATATTATCCCGTGTCAAATCTGTCAACTGTCAACCCCAGATTTTAATTAGCCGAGCCATTTTCGCGTTTAAAGATCTCCCGTACTCCACCTTCCCCCTCCTGGTCTGCAATGTGACTTGCATATCAAATTTGACTGGAAAATGCTATCTGCTTCTCTGAAGCATAATTGGAGTCATGTCGGATAAAGACAACTCCGATCCCGTTGAAACACGTGGATCAGAAGTGCGCCAAGATACAGATGCAGACGAACTGGTTACCGGTCACATTCAATGCTCAGTGTGTAGCAGTACCTTTCGACGACCTGAGCATCTGAAACGACATCTACGGAGTCACACAAAGGAGAAACCATTTGAATGTGCCCAGTGCGGCCGGCATTTCTCAAGAACGTATGCGCGCTTGGGTTATATCCTTGCGTCGAATTACACGCTAATCAACCCCCAGTGACACCCTCCATCGACATGAGCTGAGTCACCATGCACCAGGAATGGGAGGGAAAGACCGCACCCATCGGATTACTGTCAAAACATTTCGCGCATGCTTTAGTTGCGCAACAGCAAGAGTAAGATGTAGCGGTGGCATGCCATGTGGACGGTGCGACACTCGTTCGCTTGAATGTCAATACCCCACGCAAAGGCGGTCTAAAGCAAAAGCCTTGAGAGATTCAGTCGGGCAAGAAGCCGAGGCGCAGAACGACAACCCCAAACATATGCAAGATTTGAATGCAGCTTCTAGTCAGCGCCAGTTTTCTATACACTCGCAGAATGAGCCGACACTATCATCCAAAATTTCACTCAATGTATCATCTACGCCCGGCGATGATTACACAAGACGAATATCCCAAAATGCACACAATCCAGACGCCTCGAATCCTCGTTTGTACCTCCCAAATGAGATACAAGGGCCGTCCGAGCCACTGCCACTGGAGGTTTACCCTGGAGATATCAACCAGACATATGATAATTCGAGCTCCAACATCTCCAAAGCGTTCCCGGTTGATTCATCCAACAATTTAGACTCTGAAATGAGAGATCTCCAGCCGGGGATGACCAACCCAGCAGGTGACATTGAAATGACCATGGCAAATAACTCAGAAGTGCCGCTAGAGTTTGATCCCACATTCTTTGACCAGTCCATGCTTTCGACCATCAATTGGCTCCCTGGCGAATTGCTTTCTGGTGCTCCTAATGGCCACGCACAGTCTACCAGTGTTTCCTCGCGATACAACCAATCTCTCAGCCCAAGTGTCTACTTCTCTCGAACAGCGTGGCAGCCACCGATTATCAGCGGGCAAATGAGTCCTTTGCAAACAGAGCGGGTGTCTCAGACACCCCCTGTGCATGTCTCTCTGGGAAACAACATGGGAAGCCCCAATCGATATTCCCACAGTATTAGCGAGCCTTCTCCTCATAACGAATCAGTCGGTTCCGCCAAGAGATCAGCGGACTACTATGTCGATGGTGCGCCATCCAGACTCCCAAAGTACGGAAAGAAACACACGCCTTGGTCCCGCTCATCTGTAGAGCCGGTCGATATTGGCAAGCAGCTGGTCATTGAAGATGACGAACACCGGTTCAACTTCCCCATCATCTCCGAACTGCGAACAGATCAGATATCGGAAGATATAACCCGGTTTGCACAACGGATTGAAACATCCACCTACGATGAGATTTACCGGCACTTCGTTCAACTATGCTGCAAGGAGACTCCGTTTTTTGAGACGTTCGAATCGGAGAAATTTCCCAGTGTGGAAGAATGTAACCAGTTCATCCTCTTCTTCTTCGATTCATTCCAGGGTGTTTATCCGATTTTACATCTTTCTCAGTTTGATCCGAATACAAGCCATTGGCTCTTGACTTTGTCAATAATAGCGCTCGGCTGCCATGTGTCTCTCATTTCCGAGATAGAGCAGTGTACAACTGCTCTCCACGAGCTAATTCGGCGGGGTATCTATCTTGAGGTGAGAAATGTCTTCTTACCCTTATTCATTCCTTCCAGCTAATTGTTTGTACTACCAGAAAGAGAAGAGTCGCCCTGGTCAAGCTTCTCTCGAGATATTGCAAGCTATGTTGTTCAATTGCATTGGATTGATCCATAGTAGGAGCGAGCGAGAAAAGGCTTCAGCCTTGAGCACATTTGGTGACTTGGTGACACTTGTGAAAGCTTCCCGGTTATTGACACCAACGCGAACAAAACTCAATGAGGCGTCGCAAGACGCAGCTTGGGTATCTTGGATTCAAGATGAGGTCAAGAGACGCACGGGCTACTGTATATGGGTAAGCTTTGTTGAAAATGGAACGTTCACTTTTACTGACGATGATAGCTTGTGGATTGTACTCTTGCATATTACTTCGATAATCGACCCCTGCTCTCCCTAGATGACGGACAAGCTGCATTGCCCGCGCACGAGAAGCTATGGCAAGCAAGGTCTGCAGAAACTTGGAAGCCACTGTGGGCGAAGTCATCCGGTAACTCTTATTCAGACCCAACAACCAACCAATAACTAACTCCTACAGCCAACGAATCCTTATACGACGCCGTCCACATCCTCTACATTGAGAAGAGAGTAGTATCGGGGATAGGAGAATTTAGTCACATCCTCCTCATCCACGCTCTCTACCACCGAATGTGGGAAGTAGGAGACTACTTCCGCCGCCCACTATCCTTCTGGAACCCAACAGCAAAGAAGCAATCCTGCGAGACCGCCATCCCCACAGGCTCAGTCTGGCTTCCGGGGATTCCCTCATACTCGAAATGGCGCAACAGCGCATGCGACTGCCTCGATATTCTCCACTGGACCGCCAACAGCACTGTAGCCAAAGCCGCAGGCTTCGAACACCCAACAATCCTCCATCTCCACGCCGCCCGACTCCTCCTCCTCGCTCCATTCCGCGAAATGCGCTCCCTAGCAATTTCCCTAGCAACAGAAAAGCAGCGCTGGAGCAAACGACACCAGTCCCTCGAGTGGCAGTACATCTGGCGCTGGATGAAACACGACCAGTACAAAGCCCGGCTATCAATAATCCACGCCGGCGTTACTCTATGGCATATTCGTCGCTACTCGACAAACGCTTTCCACGAACCCGTCGCGGCGTTCATCGCTGTCCTGACGCTTTGGGCGTACGGGTCTTGTCACGCGCATACCTCCCATGAGTCTAGTCCGCGTTCGCAGTCGCGTGCGGAGCCGCTCCACGAACCGAGTTTTGTTCATCTTGATCGGCCGTGTGATGATGAGCTTGTGCAGCTTTTTGTGAGGGAGGGTCATGCTATGAAAGGGAATGTTACTGGTGTGGGGGATATATGTGGGCCTGAGGGCCCGGAAAGGATGCTGCGGGTTGGATGTGAGATTATTTCGGGATTGACGGCGTGGAGTGTTTCGAAGAAGTTTGTGGCTATCTTGACGCGGTTGGCCGATTTGAGCTCGTATCACTCTTCTTGGGAACAGAATCGCCGACTTGATGCTGAGAATGTCTGATTTGTGTAAGGGTGTAGGATGAATGGTCTATAGTCTATGGTAAATAAACATACTTCTTATTCTGTACACTAGTTGTTTGTATAGTTTTGGGAATTGCTTGTTGTGACTGTGTCAATCAGTCGAAAGACACCAAATATACACGTTTCAGGGGACTGTACCAAACTCAGTAGTACGATTTACGACACGGGCCTTGCCATACCCTAATATTGCGGCAGTCAATCACTATATCTAAATCAACCCAGCGACTCCATTGAGAGAAAATCGTCTGAAGGTAGATTGCCTCGAGCGGGATGGGAATAGATGTGTTGTTACTTTTGATGCGCAGATCTATCGATCGAAACGACACAACATAACGATCACACCCTACACCGAGTGTGCCCATAGCATTCATTTTTTCATTTGCAACATGGAAAGATGAGACAGAAGAGTACAACACCCCATCTGGACGTATCTCATTCGTTTTTTCCCGGCCATCGACACAAAAATCAATTTCACCCAGAGAACATCAATGATACAATTAAAGCCATGACCTTGTCTTGTAATTTTCATTTCTCTGCCTTTTCGATTTCGCCTTTGGTGCGGCTTCAGTAACCCACGCATACAGACTAGAAAACTGCCGGCCATGGTTACTGTTCTGGGTGCCTACTCGGTCAGGGACATTAACGCTAGCAACATGGTATCGTCGGCGCAAGTGTTAATGTCAAATCATTACTACACCCATACTACAGAATACATTGCCTTCCACTTCTTCTTTCCACTCTCGCTGCCCGTAGATCGACCGGGCCCTAACTGGCTATAACATAAATAAGGAGGTAAAATGGTATATTTCAATGGAGATTCCAGTACCTCTCCAGCGTATAGGCCAGTCTACACGTGGGCTAAGTTCCTGCTGAGAAGTGCTTGGGCTTTCCTCAATAAACGATCGTGGCTCCAAGGTCCGAAATAGAAAGTGTAAATTCTGATAGTAGTTCTAATAGAGGAGCATGATGAACTTGCATTTCACAAGCAAGACTCGCCAGTTAGTCGACATTGAGGCCCTCAAACTGAATTTGCACGCCATCCGCCTTCCCAACAGCGTAGACGCCGATAATCGGGCCAGTGAAATCGGGATCAGTCATATCCAGAGTATCAACTGTTCCCAGACACGTCCAGTCATTTCCGACGTGGGGTATAAATGAATAAAGTAGAGAATACTGCTTCTCTGTGTACTGTATCCGGAAAAGCAAGGAGCGAGGGACTTCCTCGAGGGTGTGTTTCTCAGTTCGAACAATCTTCTGGCCAGCATTGACCAGTTCGAGGACTACCGCCTGCTGAGCAGCGTCGTAGTAGATCCTTGAGTAGCGGTGCTCTTCCTTGTAACAGGCAAGCCCAGCCTGGATCTTTGCAGAGTTCCAGGAACCTTCGATTCCTTCAAGGGCCACTGTACTCCTGCCGGCTAATTGCCGTTGCCGCTTGCCAATGAAGGTCGGACTGTGTTCTGGGTGGGATAAATCGACCGATGACGTGGTCAATCTCACAGACGAATTATTATTCTCAAGTCGATAATTGCTCATAACAGCATCTCGGATGTAGAGGTAGTCCATCCCGGCTTTCGCTGCGAGGTGTGAGCTTGAATGGGTTGCTGAAAGGCTGTGGGGGTTCGATTTCACTTGGTCGAAGACGGGCCATTCACCATCCCAGTTCACTCGAGTCAAAAAGGTCTCGCGACCCATGGCGCATCTCCCTTGGTCCTCTAGGCGGGCCCCAATACAGACTCCCCACCATTGGCTCTTCTCATCCTGGAATAGTTCACAGTGGCCGGTATATTGGATATACTCTTGAGTACCACGCGCCGTGAGGACGGGGTTGTCTGGACACGATTCATATGGGCCAAAGACGTTCTGCGAGCGTGCCATGGTCACCATATGCCCGCCATGTGTGCCCCCTTCCGCGATGAGCAAGTAGTACCAGCCCTTGTACTTATACAAGTGCGGCCCTTCTGGATAAATGTCACCGGTACCGCGCCAGATCACTTTCTCCTCTGACAATTTTGCGCCGGTATTTGGGTCGATTTCGAAGAGGTTGATCGTGGTTCCTGGTCCTACTCCACCCGACCCTTGCAGATAGACTCTTCCATCATCATCGAACAGAAGACTCGGGTCGATTCCTTCGAACTCAAAATAGATCGGGTCGCTCCATGTGCCTGACCAGATATCATCGGTGGAGACTATGAAATTCTCCGTCGAATCCTTATTGTTCCCCGATGCACGAACGACATTGGTACAGACGACATAAAATCTGCCCTGGTGATGACGGATCGTCGGTGCATACAGACCTCCACTCCCGACCAGAAACTTGCCATCATCCACCGGGTAGAGATTCGCCTCCGACTTTGCGAGGCTGAGCTGGGACTGACGGTTGATTGCATTTCCTGTGTGCTCGCACGTTAGTGGAATCTTGAACTGTGTGCCTAATTCACTGAGAGATTGGAATACTTACCGATCTGCTGCCATGATACCAGATCTTGAGAGGCGTAGATAGGTAGACCGGGGAAAACGTGGAAACTGGAGTTGATGAGATAAAACCAGTCGTCCAACTTTACCACGGATGGATCTGGAGCGAAGCCTGGTACAATGGGGTTGACTGTATCCGACATGGCTGACTCGCACAATGCGTAAGAAGGAAAGGAGGAAATTGAGGTTGGAATGCCGGCATCTCATCTATTCTCCTAGCCTTCGATAAAACATTGAAATAGAGGGGTTTCATTGAAGTTTAGCCAAAAGTTCCGGGAGATTATTGGGGTCAAATCAGGCTGTTAAAAGGCCAAGAAATAAGCATGGGTATAAAACACGCTATGTAGGCTAAATTGGAGGAAAGGGGACCAGAGGGAAGCTATCCCCCGCATTTTTTCTCCGGAGGGAAAAAGTACCAGTCGGTAATCACATAGCTCCATTTGGAAGAGCTGGGGAGCGATCGCTTAAGTCAAGTTGTATTGGATCGGTGCGTAGGGAAATTTGTAAGAGAGGGAAGTTGTTTACCGGAAAGCTTTCTTTGCCTCAAGTTAAACTATTAAAGTGCTATTGGAACTTTTGTCTTTGCAGGCATTCTGGATATAGAGTGGTATGGAGGCTCTCCCCCACAATTGCCCCGAAGTACATATATCAGCGGCTAATGCTGATCCATCCACTTGCCGTTGAGTTGATCCTCTTCCCAAATAAGGTATAGTCGAAAGCCATTCGGGGTATCGAGTATCGCCTCTATGGATGAGACCAATAGCACTTCAAGTATACAGTCCAAGAGAACGCTATCTTTTTCTCGGTAAAATGCAGAACAGGCAAATCTAACATACCCCAGTTTAGCTATTTTCTAACAATGACAAGCCCGGCTAGAGATATTACAGCCGGGAGTTGATCAAGCTACTATCTGTAGGGGTCGGGCTTGTCCAAATCCATGTCTGTTTCAAAATTTCATAAGGAGGGTCTTTTTCTAATTAAAAAGCTCCTCCCATCCCCGACCACAGTCGAAGTAAATTCCTCAACCTACTACCACTCATTTTGCTTTCCATCTACAACTCTATATACAGTCAAGCCTTTCGCAATCATGGCGTTGCGATTTCGGCCCCCAAAGCAGACCCAAAGGGTTATGCCGGTCAAGCCCACGAAGGGACATTTCTTGTTCGCTCACCAGGAGTTCCAGCGTGTGCCCTGGTGGAAGAGGAAGAATATGCGTACCTTGTACATCTACATCGTCATCCTCATCATGACCAACACAGCCAACGGGTTCGATGGCTCCATGATGAACGGTCTCCAAACCCTTTCCTATTGGCAGGAATACTTCGATCACCCTCACGGCTCGCTTCTCGGTCTCTTTAACGCCTCTATGAGTCTTGGCTCACTGCTCGGTCTGTTCGTCGTGCCTTACATGATCGATGCCTGGGGCCGTAGGCTCGGGTGTTTCGTCGGATGTCTCATTATGCTACTTGCAGTGGGTCTGCAATCTGGTGCTACTGGCTTTGGCATGTTCATCAGTGCCCGTCTCCTTATTGGATTTGGTGATTGTCTCGTTCTCGGGAGTGCCCCGCTCTTGATCGCAGAAATCGCACATCCACAAGACCGTGCCGTTCTTGTCACGCTTAGTGGTGCTTCCTATCACTCTGGCGCATTCATTGCTAGCTGGGTGACATTGGGTACTTTGAAGATTCAGGTATGTATCATTCCCACACGGCTACCGTGCAACTGGTTGCCAAACCTGGATACTTTGTTTCTCGACTCACATCTTTTTTCCCATTAGAGCGACTGGTCTTGGCGTCTCCCAAGTCTGCTGCAGGCCATTTGCACCGTTGTTATTGTTTGTGGTATCTGGCTGATGCCGGAAAGCCCTCGTTGGCTAATGAGCAAAGGGAGACACGATGAAGCTATGCAGATTCTCGTCAAATACCATGGCGAGGGGGACCAGAATGACGCATTTGTGCATCTGGAGTATGCAGAGATCAAGGCTGCCATGGACCTGGATAAGGAGCTTGACCAAACTCGCTGGGTTGACTTCTTGAAAACCAAGGGCAACCGGAGGCGAATCGGCCTGATCACCGCTCTGGGCCTTTTCAGTCAATGGAGTGGCAATGGTTTGATTTCCTACTATCTCCACCAGGTCATGGACAGTGTTGGTATCACCAAGGCCTCCACGCAGCTCGGAATCAATGCGGGTATCAAGTCCGAAGCCTTGGTCACCAACTTCGTCCTAGCCTTCTTCATCGATAGGTTGGGAAGACGGCCAGTCTATATGGTCTCGACAGTTGGCACGTTCGTGGTCTTCAACGCATGGACTATCGTATCAGCACGGTACGATATCGCGCCTAATCAGGCGCTTGGATACATTTTCGTGGCCCTCACAGTTCTCTACGGATTTTTCTACGATATCAAGTAAGTACTGGAAACTGCCCCGCTGACCCAGTCTTTCTTTTTCTTTTTGCTAGCAGGCACTGACATTGAGGTACTTCTCAGATCTGGACTGATGGCAACCTA